GGTTGAGGGTTTAGGTTTAGGCATCGGGCCTGGGCTCTTGTTCAGGAGCATACTGAGGCAACCCTCTTCTTTACTATCTCTATCTCTCTATCTCTCTATCTCTCTCTCTCTCTCTCTATCTCTATCTCTCTATCTATCTCTATACATATATATATATATATGTAGAGATTTCGACAGAGAGAGAGAGAGAGAAAGATCCCTATTAAGGTAACTTAACATAGGCCCCTTTTTCTTGAGCCCAGAAGCCGAAGCCCGCGACGGTCTTCAGCGGCTCGGGCCACTGCAGGTTCACGGTTCCGAAGTTGAAGTCGAAGAGGTTACAGGTCTGGCCTGAGCTCGGGTAATGTTAGGGCTCCTTTAAGGGCTCCTTTAAGGGCTCCTTTACGGGCTCCTTTGAGGGCTCCTTTAAGGGCTCCCTTTTAGGGCTCCTTTCTGGCTTCCTTTGGGGTTTAGGGTTTGGGGTTCCGTGAAGAGATCCTTCAGGGTAGGGCTCCTTTCAGGCTTCCTTTAGGGCTTACGGAAAAAACTAGGGTTCCGTTAAAGGTCCCTTTGGAGGTTCCAGTAGGGTTTAGGGTTAAGGGACGTAGTCTTTTATAAGTTACCGTAATGGGGATCCACTTGCTTAACTTGAACTCCTTAGCCAGGACCCAGTGGCCCATCAGTCGGACCCAGCATTTCTGACGACCCCAATCGACACGGATGCCGTCTCCGTCGATGTGCATGTCTGGCGTGCGGGTGTCTGGGCAACCAGCATTCCAGTCTGAGAAGCCACGGACCAATATGTCAATGGCCATCTCCACTGAGTCAATGACAGTGTTGGCCACGAAGGTGACCTGGTCGCTTGCATGCTCATAGGCGTCGCCCAGCGCGTTTCCGACCAGGCCCGTGCCGTCGTTTGCAGCCGCCGCAGCGTCGGATGCCGTGTCGACGACCGCGTTTCCTGCACTGCTCACAGCATTTGCCACTGACTTGAACAATCGGCGGCGTCGTCGAGGCCAGCCACGTCGACGGGAAGATCGTTCCTCCCCCTCCTCCTCGTCCGCCTCTTCCATCTCATCAGTCTCAGCCTCGAGCAGGAGGGTGTCCTTGGCCTCCTGGTCACGTCTTGAAAGCAGCTTCCGCTGCTGGGCCTCCGCCTGGTTGAGCTCTTCCTTTTGCTCCTGGCGGTGTGCCTCCGGACTGAAGTCCCGCTTCTCCCGCTGGTGATTGTGCTTCTGCATCACCTTCTTCAGGGTCTCCTGAGCCTTCTTCGTGCGGGCCTTGGGATCCACCTGCTTCAGGGAAGCCGTGGTGTCATTGTGATCCAAGTCGAAGTGCTCGCCGATGACGCTGCGGAGGTCCTGGACAAGCAAACGATTTCACAAGCTTCGGCAAGGAAATTTTGCAAGGCTGACGGCCAAATCTTTGCGGATACTCTCACCACTATACCGAGGGAGAAACTGCCACGGCAAGAAACAGGCAGGTCCTGGATCTCATGTTGTTGCATCTCCACCACCGTTTCCAACTGGACGATTTTCAGCATCAGGAACTCCAAATTGCGGGCCAACTCGCCCATTCCATGGGTTCCATTGCTGCTGGCATTCTCGGGATTCGGGATATTGTTCATCTCCTTCATGTCTTGCTCGGCGTTCTCGCCCACGATCATCTCCAACTGCGTGTCCACAGTCCCGTTGCTGCCATTCACGGTCATGTTGATGGGGTATCCGCGCTCCTCGAGGTCCCCAAGGGAAGCCACCTGTGTCTCCGCCTTCAGCGCCAAGAGCGACGCCCCCGTGGCGGCGCAGCTCGCCCCAGTGCAGTCAGCACAGCAAAGGCGGCCAAGCGCAAGGATGAGAAGGCCCGCTGCGGGCCTTGCGGTTGTCCAACGACAATGCCCTGAGGACATGGTCATCGGGTCAGGAATGCGAAATGTAAGAGCGTTTCCGGGAACAAATCGAGATTCGAACCGAGATTACTGCGCGCCGGAGACATGCCACACATGTCCGCGTTTCTGTATATACAAATCCGTATGTGTATAGAAAATATTATAAACATTGATGTGCATATTCAGGTGTATAGCGTATATCACAGCGCTTGCAACACAAGAACATGCAGCTGGAGCACCTCCAAAGACACTCCTCTTTGGCCCTCAGCGTCGAGGCCTCGCCGGCAGTGAACTCGCTGGCAAGGTCTCAACTCAACACGTAGATTAATGCCTGTACATATACCTACTGTGTGTATGATGGTAGGATGTATGCATTTCTGCATTTCTGCATGCATGCAAGCATGCATGCATGCATGCATGCATGCATGCATGCATGTATGTAATTATGTATGTATGTATGTATGTATGTATGTATGTATGTATGTATGTATGTATGTATGTATGTTTACGTATACGTATACGTATATACCTATATGTATATGTGCACGTATACGTTCTCGTATACGTGTATGTACATGTTGCTCTGTGCCAGAAACCCCCACCCCAGAAAAGCTGCACTCCCGAACACTCAACTGCTCCATGCTGTGCGCAAAGTAACATCTGAGGCAGACTCCATCTGCTGAAGGAAGGCCTGTTGCAGGCGCGCACGGAGTGCCAAGGCATCAGAGGATGCAAAGGGGCTGTCCAAGTCCCGCAGGTTCCACATGAAACTACGTTGCTCAACATACTCGCATCGAATGTTGGCTTGATTCTTGCTCATGCTGTCTGCGCCAACCTGCAAGTTGGGCGGCTTCGCCTGGAATGAATCTGATGCAAAGGCATGAGAACACACCGGTTTCTGCACACACGCACACGCACATCAGCAGCATCCTGTGTCTCGGCGTACTACACCGGCCTGCAGAGCTACATGCCAAAATCCTCAGAGTCATAAACATTGCAACCGAGAAGGTCTCAGAAGGTCATGGGAGGATCTGCAGATTCGCGCCTCAGGTCAAATCGCATCACTGGAACCTGGATGACCTGCTGCACGGCTCAAAGATCAAGCCCTCCATCTGCAGGAGCTGCAGAAAACGGTCCAACTCATCTCTGAGGTCTCTGGTTCTCTGCAAAGCCAACGAGAATGACAGCTTGTGGAACCCCGCCGGCCAACACGATAGGAATGCAAGGATGTCCCCTTCCACCCGTGCAGTGTCATGCCAAGATGACATCACCGCTTCGCGGGGCTCTTTGCGCGAACCTGCGCAGCTGCCCAGCGGTTGCGCCAGCATGCCACCGCCACCCAGCACGCCGGCGCCGAAGAAAGCAAGGACGACAGCAGGACAGCCGACGCCTGGGAGGGCAGTAGCAGCCACGGCACCCCCGGCTGCGGCGACAGCTGCAACACCGGCGGCTGCCGTTTTATTTTCATCACGAGCTTCCTTGTCAAACCTGTCCTTGAGATTATCTCCAGCTGCAGCTCTGTTAGCCTGTGTCCAAGAACTGAAAGCTTCCACTGCCTCGAGAAACTCCTCAAAAGCTCTCTGCAAGTCGTCGGCATGTGGCTCTTCACCATCACTAACCACTGACAGCTCGGCTTCTCCACTGCGGATGCTGTGCTGGATCTTTTTGAACAAACGTGCACTGTCCGCAAAGTACCGGTAGATCACATTCTGCACGTCCATTTTCAAGATGGAGTCCGGCATGTCTTGCAACTTCTTCTGGAGGCCTTCAAGTCCTCAAGTGTGCTACGGCTCGGTTTCTGAGCGAACCCTTCAAAATCTGATGCTGCTATCCAGGCTATCCACCAGAACATCATGGGTGCTTGCAATCCCACCCATGAGGTTGCGGGACACTGTGGCAAGGCTTCTCGCCTCTGAGAAGACTCCAAAGCCACGCGGCCGACTGCAAATACTGACCGTGTAGGTACTTACTATGTGACTGTACATCATTTGTACTTCAGATGCTATAAACCGGTTTTGGTCAGTCTCATGGATGACAAGCACCTGCGTGAGTTGAGACATGGTGAAGATGTACCTTAATTATGCTTAATTAATGCTATTGCTTGCTGAAGGCCACTATGAATACCGTTCCAGGTGTTGCTCAGGCCCAGAGGAAGTCGGCAAGTCTTTCATTGTGGATGTTGCAAGCACATCAAATGCTCTGTTTTGCGCAAGGTCATCTAGGGCATATCAAGTGCAGACAGCGGCCACGCGACCTACTTGAGTGCTGTTTCCGAAAGCAAACAATGAGGGACAGGCAGCGATTTGTCCTTCTGCAAAGTTTTGGTGCGTCATTTCTAAGGCAAATCTTGCAGGATGTTTCGCCTGTGATGCATGAATCTTCGCTCCCCATGGGGCCCTTGGCGCTTTCTTGGAAGGGATGACACTGCTGCTAACATGAGCCAGGCACTGGCTTGTTTCCTGGATTCTTCATGCGGATCAGTCTGACCCGCAACGTCCGGACGAGGTGAAGCAGATGCCTCTCGCCTTCCATGTGGCCTTCAAGATGCGCAACAAGGCCAAGCACAAGCCATGGTTTCTAACATTCCTGCATTTATCAGAATGCACCCCTGTAGATGGTTCCGTGGCATCCAACAGTTTCCCGGTTAACTGCAGTTCACAGCTGTAGCTGAGCTTGAACGTCAACTAAATTGCAACTGAGACGCACCTTAATATGAGGTGCTAGACCCTTATCGGCGAAATGCGCATTATTCATGTACACATCACATCCCTTCAACGCCGCCCAGTTTCCGGCGATGTAGTTCCGAAGCTGACTGCACTGCAAGTCGAACTGCTGGCGAGGCTGCTGACGATGGGACTGCGTCGCCAACACACACGGGTTCATGCTGCCTCAAGCTACTGCCGGGTCCCGGGATCTGAACTACTGGAACCAAACTGCGAGAAACCTGAGTCTGTGTACGCTGACCATTGCTGATTCGCTGGATGCACCGGAGACACCGAATCACGGCGACACACACAGCCAGTGCGCGACGTCTGCTGCCCCAAGCTTTTCTCTCAGTGTTTGCAAAGTCCCGTTCTAGACAGGTGCCGCTGCAAGTTGTTCTGGACAGGCGTACTACACCACGTCTCAAGCAAACAACTGTCGGGAGCAGTATACAAACCATGTGAGGGCCAAAACTCTCAAGAACGGGGTCTCACGTCACATCCCCACAGCTCCTGCAGCATTCCGCAGCTCATTCTGTACCTCTTGGAGCCGTCTTGTCTCCGTAATGCCGAAAGCTGCGGCGAGGGTCGGATCACTGGCCAAGCCCACAAAGTTCTGGCATGCAGCCCTGAGTTGAGTTGTCTGGTCCCAAGATCTTAACCACAGCAAGAAGTATCGAATGGTAGAGAGAGAATTGTGGAAGCCAACAGCTAAGGTGCACTTGAATGCCCTGGATCTCTTCCAACATCATGTCCACACGACGCTTGACCCTAGCAGATCGGCCTGAGACCTTGCCGGCATCGATTTCCAGCCTCGAAATGCTGTCATCCAAATTCTTTGCCAAAGTCTCCAAACACCTTGGCAGGTCAATCAAAGCACGCCGCTAGAGATGCACTACCTGTAAGCTGGCTGCATTTGACGCTTCGTCTAGAGGACTCGCTGCAAAGGAACACAAGACACTCCGTTTGTTCTTGCTGCTTCGGCCGGACCAACTGCAAACAACACGATTCAAGCAGAAGTTTAGTGGTCAGAGTCAAGCCAATATCATAGCAGTGACGAAATTTGAGTAACAGCAGCATTGACAAACAAAAATGCCTCCCCAGGAGAACATCACCGTCGAGAGGCTGCATCGGGACGTTTTTGGCTTCCATGTCTTTAACCAAGGATTCTTGAAGCCGCATGGCGTTGGAGCGATGCTCCGAAGTTGCCACTGCACTGATAGCTGTAAAAAGGGCTACGCCAAAAAGTGTCACGGGACACATGGCTGCAAGTCCTACAGCCAAGCCTGCAGCAGCACCACAGCCAGACAACACACCGGAAGTTTTGCGCTCCCAATCCACATCATCGTAGAGCTTCCGGAACTTTCGAAAGTGCTCCTGCTCGGCACCGAGGATGCAGCTTACATTGTCCTTACGCTCCTGATTGAACTCCGCCAAATCCGTGTAGTATTCCTGTACATCTTGAAGCTTCTCCTGGAGCAACGCCTCTGGTACGGTCTCTGCTCTTTCACAAGCACGAAGAATCTCATGCAAGACGTCTTTCAAATTCCGGCTCTGTTTGACGATGCGAAACTCCTCGCTGGGAAACTACCCGCGACCAAGCCCGTGACTGGAAACTTGTGTGTAAAAACAAGACAACAAAACAAAAAAAAAACTACTGTAGCTTGCACACCCCCTCTCTCAGTGGAGCCCGGTCCTGGTTCAGCCAGAGTTTCATCCGGCGGACCATTTCTGGCGGGATCTCCTTGCCCTTCTTGAGCTCTTCCACTCGAAACTTCCCGTACTCCGTCAAAACCTCGCCGATCTTCGCGCTTTCGACCTGCAACGGCTTCTGCCGCCGCGACAATACATCACAACCCTGAGCCATGGCTAAAGCCGGTCGCACACAAAGCCTCTTTGACTTCTTTTGAGCCTTTCACAATACCTGCAACTCTTTCACGCACAAGGGCACGTGCGATGACTTGGCTGTGCGTGCCTTTTGACTTGCCTACTTGCCTCGAGAAGGCATTGACGTACTGGCCTCCTGCCAGCTAGGCCGAGCAACCACAAAGGACAACGCAGGTCTCACACGTGCACCAGCCGCTTGTATTCCATCGCACCGGCCTGGAATAATATGTCTGTGATGCCACATGTCCATACACTGCCCTTCAAACTAGATAATCCTGTCCTGGCAGGTCATGCTTCATTACCAAGGAACAGCAATGAAAGACGGAAGGGCTCCAGACATGTGCCCGGCTTTTCCAGCGCTTTGAAACGTCTTCGTCAAAACCGGCTTGCCCAGAACACAAGCGTACTACGCCAATAGCCGAGCTGATAGTCTACCTTTCATATGCGTCGAGCGGCTGTTCAAAATGCCGACCACATGCGACCACCAAAACTGGATGGCTTAAGACCTCGTGCCACACATGTTGGTGGACCGCTTTGCCAGAGGCACTATGACGCATTGGGTAGAGAAGGACCGAAAATTAAGGCCTTCATCTGCAGTTGCCGCAGCAAGTGGTCGAATTGGCATCGCATGCTTTGGGCGGAGGCAAGGGCTTTCCGGAGGGAGAGCATGTGAAAGTCTGAACTCCAAGATCGGAGCAAAGCATCCACGTTGGATTCCAGAACTCCCATCTTCTCCCACAGAGTCTTCAAAGCGCCAAGTTGCTGTTCATCCTGCCGGCGTCGAAGACAACAGAACATCAAAGCCGCGAAGGCCGTGCCCGCTGCTGCTCCAAGGATCCACAACATCTGCAGCCTGTAAGCCATAGCACCTCCAAAGCTGGCGGCGCTACACACCAACAGGCACACACAGGCAGTTGCACTCCGCTTCCAAGGCAAGGCGGACAGCCTCCGGTTTGATCGCAGAAGTCTTTTCAACTTCTCTTCCACGTCACGGCGTCCGTCGGATCTCCAACTGCAGAACGAGTTCACAGCTTCCATGAAGTCAACAAAAGCTGCTGTCAGATCTTCAGCTGCTGGTTCTTCACCATCACTAATCACTGACAGCTCTGCTTCTCCAGAACGGATACTGTGCTGGATCTGCTTGAAGAGACGCGCAGTCTCGGCAAAGTAGCGGTAGAGTACATTCTGCAAGTCCATTTTCAACAAGCTATCTGGCATCTCCCAAAGCCTGCCAATAAGGCACTCCAGTCCTTGGAGAGAGATCATGAACAAACGTGACACACAGGAAAAGGAGAAACTGCCAAACAATCAGTTAAACCTGATCCACCAGCTGAATTCCATTGGTTGCACGAAGCTCACTTAAAGTAACGTTTCGTGGATGAATCATCCGAGATTCCCCTCACGTAGTTCTGAAGTGCTGGGGCTGCTGGAACCTGCCCATCACATGGAGGCACCTGACGACACCATGCGGGACCAAAAGCAGGGATTGTGATGACCTGGCTCATCTGATCAGGAAGGCAACAGTCTGGCCGACCTTCTAGCTTGCCCACGCGTTTGAACCGCTGATCAATGCACAAGGAGGACCGAACCACTACACATACTGCATGAGACAAGAACTCACAAAAGTACTTAGAACTACCAGAACACAAGCTGCCACACTCGGAAAGCACAAGCTTGAACACACAGCATGGTTCTGCTTTTCCTTATGCCCAATGGTCGCGAAGCCCCCCAGGATTTGAGCGTACTACACTCAGAAGCTGCGAGGAAGCTCCAAGCCTTGAAAGTGTGCAACTCGACGGGCCTTAGAAACCTCATGCTGATACATCCGCGGGAATCCCTAGATTCCCTAGATCGGTCAAACGCCGTCCGTCTCATCCGCCACCAACACTGCCCATGCATCCTTGCAAGGACACAGCTGCACGAGTCAGCGATTGCTCCGCAATCAAAAGCCTCCTTTGCTCATTCATGCCAAAGGCTGCCGCCAGCGTAGGATCACTGGCCAAACTCAGAAAGTTCTGAGAAGCAGCCCTCGGCGTATATTGCATGAGGGCGGCTGTGATAAAACAGACATGAAACTGCGGAAAGGCTACAAGCTACCGAATAAAGGCAAATCTATTCGATGTAAGAACAAGAACATGCCATGAGTCTGAGGCTCATCTGCACACCTTGAATCTCTTCCAAGATCATATCCATGCGGCGCTTGATGCGAGCAGAGCGCCCCGAAATCTTAGAACCATCCTTGGCAATAACTCCAATGGCATCGTCCAAGTTCTTGGCGAAGGTCTCCATGCACCTCAGCCGAGGACCATGCCAAAAGCCTTACACAAGCTGGAGACTACCACAAGCACCTGCAACCTGCGGGAAAATGGACAGGGCACTGAACGGGCACATTTGCTGGACTCGGTTGGTTGCATCTCGGTGCTGTTGGTCCGAGATTCCTGCTGCCAAACCCACCAAGGCTGCTGCCACCAACGACACTGGACCTGCGGCAGTTATGGCAACTGCTGCTCCCACTGTCGTGACTGTAGTGGTTCCAACCGCCGTAAGAGCAGTCCGAAGGTTCTTCCGATTTTCAATCGACTGATGGAGGCGGCGGAATTCCTCCAAATTTTGCTTTTCCATCTCGACGATGGCCGTCACGTTGTCCTTGCGCTGCTGACTGAGTAGCTGTAGGGTCTGGCAATAGTCCATCCATTCTTCCAACATGTCCGAGAGTAATGCATCTGGCACTTGCTCCGCTCTCTCGCATTCCGCAACAATCTCTCCACAAGCTTCGGTGAATTTCATACACGTATCGAGAATGCGAAACTCCTGCAGACGTCGATTGCGGGGAACATGTGTGTCTCATGCATGGCGAAACTGGCTCACGAATGCTTGCGGAATCAAAGGCCGAAAACGACACGGTGACGCAGAAAGGCTACAGACAGAAACCTGGGGTTCCCTCGCTGAGTGAAAAAAAAACCCTGGGCTCCTGGTTCACCAAATCCGTCATTCGGCCTACCAGCGCTGCCTGCGGGCTCTGAGAACGCTCCAGCTGCCCGTAGCGATGTCTCAAGTGATGGGACAGCAGCTGAAGGGGTTCATCAGCGGAGCAGAACTGCTGGCGACGTGAGAGAACATCCAAAGATTGGGCCATGTGCACAGCTCGGCAGGAGGCACTACACGGTTTTTGTGAGCAGAAAGCTGCATGTCCACCGTGTCAAATTTCTGCAGCATTGAACTCAACAAGTCGTACTCCTATCCAAACTGGCTTGAAGTGCTTGTGACCCTCAAACCGCAACTGAACAAACATGCAGACAAGGACTCAGTAAGCTACAGTATCCCAAGAGCCCCTCTGCCTGCTGATCTATACACGACAGCGAGACGGAAGAGCTGTGCAGCATTTGGTATGTGGTGGAAAAAAGTGTGACTGTGGTTCACTTGTTCCTCTCAAGTCTGCACATTTAAAAGCCCATAGCCTTGACAATCAGCCTGAAATCTTCGCCAGGGAGAAGCAGCGAGCTGAGAAAACAACATCCTTTCTTCTAGCACCGTTGTCGCAACAGCCCCGCCTGGAAGCAAGTCTGAAGCTGGCGAAGGGTTGTTCAGGCCTGAGCTTGGGATCACCGCTGCTCATGACAAGAGCTGCTGGACTTCCTTCGGAGGGTTTAGGGTTCAGGGAGTCCAAATCCCCTGGCGATGCACGGGCACACATTCCATCCTGTCTAATCCACTTGCTGAACCTTCTCTACCCCCCTTGTGCTTTTTGGGCTGCCAACGTTCACGACCGACTGCACAACACGATAGCAACAGACACAAGATCGCGACAACGGACCGACTTCTTATATACGCGGTGTCCAGGCGGGACTCCAGCACTCTAGGCCTGGGACACGTGAACCCGTGGGCGAATCCTCCTGGAGCCCAAGCCTGAACCCTGAGCTCCGATGAGCATTGGGCACTGGGATCCGTAGGGGTGCAAGACCTCTGCCTTCCAGGATAAGTTTGAATAAAACCTGGAAGCCAACAATATCCGTGAATGCTGTACTGTACCGTCCTAGACAATCTAGGGGTTGGCTGCACACGGCCTGAAATCTTGGGCCGGGGTTTCACCTCCACAAGTCGCGTCAGCGTCTAAATGACACTACGAAGTGAAGAACTTCAACGGAAAACATACCAACAACATGAATAATAATAACAAGCAAAAGATTGGAATTGGTGTCTGCCTCTGGCGTTGTTACGGTCTACAGTTCTAGCCAGCATGGAGCAAGAACACCCCGCAACATGAAGCAGCTTCTCAACAGCATCAGCCAACCCAAGCTCGGCCGATCCCATTCTGCTTACACACACGTCGCGTACTCCGACTGCCAGGCATACCGCCTGTGACAGCCCCATGTCGGGTGAACCTCCGTACTCGGGGACATGGCTGTCTGAATTACGTTCCCTCAGATCATGAAAACCACACTGTGTGAAAACTGCACATCATGCAGACTTCGATTCTGATTTGAAGAAGATGTACAGATAACAGAAGCGGTAGAACCGATTTCAAACCGTGCAATCGCTGAAAGCAACCGTCACGTCTCCCAGAGTTGGCCAAGCTAAGATCTCCCATAAAGCCCTTAAAACGAGACACTCTCCCTCTGAGGGAAGGGCCATGGCACCTCCCAGGGTCAATGCATCCATGAGGCTTTGATATGGGCTCTCAATGAACTATGCACATCCAGCGTCGTGACAGCATCATCAACCGCATGCAGCTTGTGGTTTACAGGCAGGCACCGCATCAGCTCAACCCGAAGCCACTGCTGAGCACTGCAGCATGCCTCGAGGATGCCGAACGGAAAGTGGATCCCTGCGCAAGCTCTTTGACAGAACAATCGCTGCAACATCTGTAAGCTCTCCCGTGCATTTGTTGACGAGGTCAATACCACGCTGCATGTTCAAGTATGCTCAAAGTTCGCCCGAAAGCCGCATCGAAGCACTGACACAATCGTTGACCCTTTCTGCAACGTCTGGCTCAAGCATGCACACGCAACCTGCCAAGAGCAACTTAAATGGATGGCGGGGCAACGGTATTCTGGAAGCACACTGTGTGACATGATTTCAAGCCGTCAGCTCACATGCTTAAGGATTCTGACCGTGTTCGGGTAGCTAGAGCTAGAGCAGCTGAAACAGCCACGATAGTGCCGTTGCAAGCCTCCTCCCTGCAGAAAACTTGCAACATGGCCAGCTCGAAAGAAGGACGTTGATGTAGGTGTCGACACGTTGTGTTTGGGAAGAACATATGTGGACGCACGACCTTCCCCCTTGCAACGCACGTTCCTGTGAGGCGGGTGCATGCTAACAACATCCCAAAAGAAATTAATCTTGAGCGAAAATGGCAACGTAAAGCGGTGGCATGCGGCAGCCAGGTGGTTTGCACGTGACTCGGAGCCGTTTGGACAGACAGGGGCTTGCACTGCTTGAACTCAGGACAAATTACACCAGCAAAGACCCCAAACAGAATGCATCGAATCATGCCGGTTCAGGTTGGAACGTGTTGGAACCCAATCTGTCTCCGCCAGCAGATGCTATAAAACAGATGTTTAGGCACAAGGGCAATATTCTTGCGCAAAAGAAGAATGCATGGTGATGATATCCGTGATGAACGGGGCTTAACGGCAGTGAGCCCACCCCGTCGCGGCCCACCCATCCGACCATGGAGCCCTGAACGGAAACATGAAGGGAGCCCAATGGAACCCACTCCGTTGCCCAGAAAAGAAATATGAAGTTCATGGCAAATCCTACACCACGCAACTAACACAT